TTTCAAGTCTCTGCATTTGTTTTTCCACCCGTGGTGACGGAGTGGGACCTCCCCTCCACCCTCTCATCTGCATGCACTCATCAACCCCCGATTCTGCGAAGCAGATAAAGGTAATCGGCCCGATCAAAGTGCACGGTCAGTGGCGCCCTGACCGCAAACTCCCTTTAGTCTGTAGGTTTTTCCCTTCTTGTCATATTGTTAGAACCCCTCAACTCCCCTCCACACTGCTACGACTTTGTGACGAGGAGGACGGCGCTCCTTCCAAATGAGACCGAGCGATCCTCTGAAGGCATCGTAAACCATCACAGGGTTATAAAGCCATAAACGCGGTTTCACAATCTTCTCCAACTGGCCTCCATTTGTTTCAGAACGCTGTGAAAATCACCTCGCGGGGACACGAAAGTGCAGCAATCTATCAGAGGGAACATCATGTCCAATCCACACGGGGATGGAAATTGTCCCCCGAGTCCTTGTGGTGAAGCAGAATAAGTGACAAAAACGCAGAAGAGTGATATCCTGAGAAGAGAAGAGAGCACAGACGTTGATGGAGCTGCACAGAAGAAGAGCGTCTTTGTCCTCTGCCCCCCATCTCCTAGCTTTCAGGCTACGTTAGCCGCCGCTAGCACGGGACGACTTTAGCTCTCCGCGAGAAACAACATTGCGACAGACCAGACAAACCAATGGGCGACACCCCAATGACTGGTGGGGGTTGGTGGGGGTTTGGTGGGGTTTGGTAGGGTTTGGTAGGGTTTGGTGGGGGGTTGGTGGAGTTTGGTGGGGTTTGGTGGGGGGTTGGTGGGGGTTTGGTGGGGGTTGGTGGGGGTTGGTGGGGGTTTGGTGGGGGGTTGGTGGGGTATGGTGGGGGGTTGGTGGGGGTTGGTGGGGGTTGGTGGGGGGTTGGTGGGGTTTGGTGGGGTATGGTAATGTTTGGTGGGGGGTTGGTGGTGGTTGGTGGGGGGTTGGTGGGGTATGGTAGGGTTTGGAGGGGGTTGGTGGGGGGTTGGTGGGGTTTAGTGGGGGTTGGTGGGCGTCTGTGAAGCCAGAGGTGTTACTGAGTAAAACGAGCTCCTGCGGACGCGTCGTCTCGGGTGCCATTTACACATGAACTCGGTGCGACGCCGAGGCCGGTTCACACACACCAACGACGACATTGATAAGAGAGCCGGGGGCTCGTGGGCCCCCACCCCCCACTGTTTGGCGTTTCTTCTGTGCCGTTTGCTGTGAGTCATTTTCACCATGAGATCTGATCAGCGAGACGACAAAGGGGAGCGGAGCCCTTTGTTCATTCGATACCTGCGGATGTGGACAGAAAGTCAGAAACACACATTCTGACTCGTCTCAGAGAGAAAACCACACTAATAAATCTGAAGGTTCATCTTCTCTTATCAACAGCTGAAGAAGACACAAAACGGAACAAGCTGGCAGCAAATTACATGGATTTTCTCTGTAAAACTAGTTTAACAAGGATGACTGGATACAGAGAGACAAAGAGAGGCACACACACACACACAGGGGCAAACAGACACACATTTACACTTTCTTGGCATTGCTGCGGACTACACACACACACACACACACACCACAACAAACACACACTAGAACACACACACACTACAGCAAACACACCAGAACACACACACAGGCCTACCGGCCCGGATCACGATCTCGTGCAGCTGGTGACGCAGCGCCGCTATAATGGCTTCATTATTTTAACGTGACTCTCATAGCCGGTGACGCAGCAGACAGGAAGCTGCTCGCTGGACGCTCCAGGGCCGGCCACTAGAGCAAAGGGTTCTGGGTAATCGGTCACAAATGCAGGGGAATGTGGGGCAGCAACCGGCTGCTGAGTCACGTCCAGGCTAAATGCGGACCTCAGATCCCGATGACGAGGACTGAGGGCGGTCCGCGTGTGTGGGGATCAGCCGGGGACGTTGGCGTCCCACCGCCCCCCCCCGTCAAAAAGAGCGGGATGGATTCCCGCCATCGTATTTTGGATAAATGCAGAAAATGAACCGAGTGTTTCACGTCGTAGAACATACAGATTAAATGTCTTCAGCTTGTTTTAAGCACTCGTAAGTACTCGTGGAGCAGGAGCAGTGACGTTTTGAATCAAAGCGCATAAAGTGCTGACTCATTTCCTGAAAGCATTCCTGCTGCATTGGCTGTTTATTGGCAGGGTATTGATCCCGTCATCCTCCCGACTGTAATGTGGAGTCAGAGGGGCCTTCTGCAGGCTGAAGGACTTAACATGCTGACATTTGCCCCACAAGCCGTGACCAAAGTGTACCGAGCCGTTATGCTAACAGAGCTAGCAGCATCGTATCTATGGAATGCCGTTTTAGTCAAAATTAAATAAATGAATAAATACGTAAATACATGAAATATGCATTTGAAATACATCATGAAATAAAAACAATGAGGCAATAAATACATAAGTATTAAATACATTTAATTATTTCATGGTACTTTTATTTCATAATGCCACTTCTCATTTCCAGAGTCTTTTATTTCATAATGCCGTTTTTCATTTCACGTTCTTATATGCAAATGAGGGGGCGTGGCTACATCTAACATTCAGAACAGACAACAGAGCCATTCTGGAAATGAAAAGTGGCATTATGAAATAAAAGTACCAGGAAATAATTAAATGTATTTAATACTTATGTATTTATTGCCTCATTGTTTTTATTTCATGATGTATTTCAAATGCATATTTCATGTATTTACGTATTTATTCATTTATTTAATTTTGACTAAAACGGCATTCCATACGTATCATATCCAAAAAGGACTTTTGCTTGATACCCGGAGATATTCTGACTTTACTTAACTGTAGTTAAGCGCCTGGCAGTATAATACATGTATATGTACACACACACACACACACACACACACACACACACACATACAAGAGGTGTGATTACTCTTGTAAGTGCTCTACATACAAGCCATGAAAAAAGGTGTATTTAGCCTCTGTTACACATCTGCTACACATTTACGTAGCTACTCGTTGCTAAATGCTTAACGCAGATAGCAGCAACGGCAGGCTCTATATCCAGCCACGTCTTATTCTCCTACAAACGGCGCCGATGGAGAGTGTAGACGTCGAATCGGCTTCGGTGATTTCTTCGGGCAACGCTTCTACTCGCTTGAGGCCTCGCGAGTGGCCCCACGCTGAAGGCGCATTCCTGGAACAACTGTTTCCCGGCCATCTTTCCATGAGCGGTGTGTGCGTTGCGGCTCAGTGTCTGTACTCGGCGTGTGGTTTGGACCGAGTTGTGTTAGAACCTTTTCTCTGGGCCCTGTCATTATTTCCTGCACTGCAAATGAAAAAAAAGCGGGGGAGAAAACTCTTGGCTTCTCTCTCCCTTCATGTTCTCTTTCTGTCTCTGTCTTTCCTCTGCTCTCCTTTTCCCTCGTTGGTCTCCTCTCTCTCTCTGCTGTTCTTTTTCCATCCTTCCATTCCTCTCTGTCATGATGTGGTGGATCAGAATGAATGAGTCACAATATTTGGGCTCAGTGAACCATAGAAGAAGCGCAGTCAAGCTACTGTGGAACGCACACACACACACACACACACACACACACACACACATGGTTTGTTAGAGCTCGACTTTATAGTGACACTCCACCCAAAATGTTACAAATCAAATACTCTGCCTTGTGGCCGTGGGGTTTTTTGGGTGTAGTTTTCTCCTAAACGCTCGATTCACGTCACAAACCGATTATCACCACAAACAGAAAGCAGGTTTTTAAAAATAAATGTTTTTTTTCTGTCACGGACACAAACCTTTGTCGGGGACTATTTTCTGCGGCGGATGAATCCATGTCTGGGGCTCCGGTGAGTACGATTGACAGGAGGGCGGGGATGATGGGACATGGCTAAGCCCCGCCCACTCCAGTGCCCCCACCTTATGTTGGAAAATAAAAAAGTAGGCCAGAGACAGATTTGTTCGTTTGTCTCCTTTGAATGGGTCCATGAGTCACACATATTGTGTTTGCCAATAAAAACCAACGCCAAGCACAGGCGATAGCTTAGCTTGCTAGCTCGCTAGCTAGCTGACACACAAATGCAGCGCTAGCTCATCCGATGAATAAATGTGTGCATTCAGCGCAGATGCTATCAGGCCTCTCCCTGCACTCTTCTAATGAAACATGACTTTATGGCACCTGAAGCCATTTGTTACCTGCTATCCGACACACCTGAGAGTCACATGACCCACCTGTTCGAACAACCCCCCCCACCTGCCTTCGTACTAAGAGGGAACCATTCAACAGGAGAAATACATCTAACTGCCGATTACAGACGTGCTTTTCCCCAACTTCTTGTTTGTATCTGCAGATACTTTTGTCGTTTTCACTTCACCCCACAAACATTCCACCGTCTTCTTCCTCTCCGCCACCTGGAGGTCGATTAGTCGCCGACAGAATCCAGCAGCAAAGCTGCTTTGCTGGATTTGATCTCACAGCGGGTCCGTTTGTCTTTGATCATTTTTTATAACCCCAACGTCCAATAAGCGCCTTGGGTGAAACCATAAAAACGCACCCGTGTTTTTACATGGAACATATGAAAGGATCCGATCATGTGGTGTCTTGTTTAGTAAATTGGGCTCGTCTTGGAGCTGTGAAACATGTTTTTATCTCTTTAACGTTTAATAATAAGTTCCTTAAAAAGCTTTTTGCGTGATCGCTGGTTTAGTTAATCTAAGAATCCAATCAGCCAATCAATATCTCTCTATAATCACTGCAGCTCATTGATGAAGGTAAATATCCTCAGAACAGTTTTTGGTTTTTTAATATTTAAAGGTTGAATAAGACAGAAACAAAGAATATTTAAACTCCACTGAAGCTCTGGTTGATACGTTATCTCATTCATGTGCAGCGTTTCTATCACACACACTTTGCCCTGAGCGAACAGTCCCATGTCTCCACACCTGGGAGGGGCGGGGACAGGTGAGGGGCGGGACTACCAGCTGAGAGGAAGGGATTGACCACATTCATTAATATCAGAATGATTTATTGATCTTTTAAGCACATGGCCAAATCTATACAAGGAAGCAGGCTGCTGTTTTAGCATCACTTAATGACTGTAGAACGCTTTCGTTAGCGCTGACAAATTCAGATTTTAATCTGACATGGATGTTAAGATTTCACAGTAATTTTATGACATTTCTCAGTAAATAAGGTTTTATTGACGATTAGCTAGTTACCCTTTATGTAAAAAAATGGAATGTGTATAAATAGACACAAATTGTTATCCATTGTTCCGGTTTTTAATCAAGAGATTTGAAACTACAATTAAATGTATAAAACTACCTCCCTGAAGTACGTCTTACTTACGGTGTACATTCAATGCGTGTGCGATTGAATTACAAAGACTGACCAGCTCTCATTCATTCTTTCTTTAATTACATCAATATTTTTTAAAAGTGCTGCGTGGTGAAGAATGACATTTTTAAATCCTCAAATTCCAAAAAAAAGAAAAAAGAATTCTAGAATAATTTATGATACAATAACAAAAATAAACATCTTTGAAAAAAAGAGAAAGTCTGTACAATATTTAAACTAAAAAAAGAAAGCGGCCAGACGGCAGCCGAGTGGAGGTAGGTTTTTCCATGCGAAGAACAAAAATCACCCCGGCTGTCTTGTTAGAACATCCTCAACAACGTTGTCCCCCAAAAACTAAAAAAACGGGGAGAAGTTTGGGGGAAAACACCCAAACATGCTAAAGCTTCTTAAAAAATAAAATATGTATTTAAAAAAAACACTACAGAAGATGTTCTAACTAGACAGCGACATTAACAAACAGGAAAGTCCTGAACAAGATGCATTTCAAGGCAACAGGTTTTAAAACTCCTCCACGCCGTCATTCCTACCAACCGGGGTCAAAGGACGCCGCCGGAAAGGAAGAACTCCAGATTAAAGACGCTCAAGACACTTGACACAAATTGCACGACAAACGGCACAAACGGAGAACATCTGCCGCCGACGAGTTTGAGTAGAATGGATTTCAGTCGAACATTTGAACCCCATTATTTTAATTTATTAGAATAACCTCACACAGAACAGCATTAGTTTAGAACGGCGCTCTCTTTCCCCGGCAGATACTTTATTTTGGACACACAAGTTTTAGTTTATTCGGGCACAAAATGAGGCGCGTGAAAGCCGCCCATCTTTTAAAAGGGGAACGCTGGCCGGCGGCCCTCGTTTGCGTACGTGCTGGGAACCGATTCCGAAACTAGTCTTCAAAGGGTAAAATCATGCGACACATCTGCTCAGAAGGTAAAGAAATGAACCTTTAATTGAATTACAATATATTCACGATGATGTAACCTGAAACGTGACACGTTTGATGCCCGAGCGAAACTTTCCAAACCGTCGTCCACTGACTGGTGAGACATTTAACCGTCGTCCAATAGCGGATTGGACCCCCCCCCTTGCATCTGAAAATGGCCGCTCAGCGAGTCACAGTACCGCCGCCGTGTCAAACAGAACGCGGCGCCCAGCTTCTGTCCCGACCTGGGCTGGTCGGCTCAGTCGCTCCACTTCTCCGGCCCGAGAAACCTGAAATCTGCTCCAACACGAAGACGCAGCGAGCGCACGTTCAGCCGTTAAGAAAACCTGCAGCGTAAATAACCGTCACAGACACACATTAAACCTGATAGCAGAGTGGTGTCGGCCCCCCCGGAGGGGGGGGGGTCCGCCTGAGGCCAAAGGCACACTGAAGAACATTTATGCAACCTGATCCAAAAAAACGATTAAAATGGCGCCCGGTTTGGAATTGAACTGGAATCGGAAAAAAAAAAAAGTGCAGTTGACCAAATAACGTTGAAGCCGCCGGCAGACGTGCGTCCGCGTGGAGGGATCAATGGTTAGTGTGGCTATAAAAGACAATCCTGAAAGCACAATATTCAAGTTTCATTCAACTACCAAGCTGATGTGGCTTCCTGTTATTTGGTCGCTGCCATTCGGCGTCCCCCAAAAAGTAGCACAAAGAAAAGAACACGACAAACACGAATTAAAAAACAAAAACAAAACACAGTCTTGCAGTTTGCGTCCAGCCAAAACAAAACGTCTACTAGCTCCATCCTGTAAAAAAAAAAAAAAAAAAAGCATCCTACGGTCTAACGATCAGCTCTGAGGCAACGCGTGAGAGTCTCTGCCGTCCGCATCTCTGGTCTTAAGAAAGTCCTTAAAATGTCAAAACCTTTGAGCGCGCCGCCCTTTGTCCCCGGCTCCACCCTCTTTGTACAAGTCTCTCCCCCTTAACAACCCGACGTAGTCTCTGAGGTCTCTTGCGGGCCCCGCCTAGCTGCGGAGCTGCTGCAGCCGGTGCTTCAGCGCTTCCTGTTTGGCTCGCAGCGCGTCCCTCCGGGACTGCAGCCGGTGTCCCTCGTCCTCCAGGCCGTAGATGCAGTCCCGCGCCTTCTTCAGGATCACCACCTTGGACGCCTTGTCGTTGTTGGACAGCTCGGGCACGTTGTCGCGCAGGTGCACGAAGCAGTTCTTCAGCTCGTTGCGCCGCTGCCGCTCCATCACGTTGTGCGTCCGCCGGCGCTCCTCCTCGTCCTCCGTCTCCGCCGAGTTGCGGGACGAGCTGTGGTGGCTGCTGCTGTGGTGGTATCGTGAAGAGGACGAGCTGCGGGAGGAGGGGGAGTGGCGGCGACGGCGGTGGTGGTGGTGGTGGTGGCGGCGGTGGTGCGACGAACCGTCGGTCCCTCGCGAGCGCTTGCTGGACGAGGGCGGCGGCGAGGGGGGGCGCGGCGCCGCGTAGTTGTGCTGCAGCTGGATCTCGATGTTGTGGCGGTGGATGGCTCGCCGCTCCTCCTCCTGCTTCTGCTGACGGACAGAGACGTCGGCCAACGGCGTCCGGGGGGAGGGGCTGGTGGAGCAGCGCACCACGGTGACCACGTCGATCTCCTCTTCTGTAAGAAAAGCAGAAACGAGGTCAGACGACTGCCGACCTTGTTTTCTGACACCGACCCAAATCAAGTGTGTGTGTGTGTGCACACCGTAAACACACCAATGTGGGCGTGGCTCTCAAACAACCCGCCTTCTAAACAGTGTGTGAGTTTTATTCACCGCTAAAGTTACAATGTGTCATTTAGAAAAAATAAAGGGAGTCGGCTCTTCTCCGGTTTACAGCCTGAAGGCTCCAGTTGGTAAAACGGCTCATTAAGAGTTAATGGATGGAGCCAAAACTGTTACCGCTGAACATGAGTCACACACACACCAACCTCCCCCCTCCCTCCTCTCCCCCCCACAGCGGTCGATTATCTCCCTAAAGCCTCTCATCTACTCAGCGAGGGCAGCAAACCCGCCCACACTGCAAACACACGATTGGAGCCGTAAAGAAAGACTCCTGCAGATTAAGAAAGGCGGGCGGTTAAACCCGAGAGCAAAGGACGAGTCAACAGCGCCGCTGGAGGAGCCCGGTGGGGGTGAAGATAAGCCACTGCGAAGGCGAGGTGGGCGTGGCCGGACAGAGTCAATAGATGAAGGTCTTTAAAGGGGGAACCCGCTAATTGAGAAGAGGGAGGAACTCACCGGAGTCGCTGGACGAGTAGGTGGACAGCTCGCCGCCGGCGGAGCCGTAGTCCGACGTGGACTCGCAGGGCTCCCCGGCGTCAATCAGGTTCTGGCAGTCCAGCGTGGAGCCGGCGATCTCCTCGAAGATGCTGGTGTTGATGTCCGAGAGCAGCGGGCTGGAGCCCAGCAGGGTGGAGACCAGCTTCTCCTCCAGGCTCTTGTCGCCGTTCAGGCACCGCCACAGGCAGTCCTCGCCGCTCTCCTCCAGCGGGGAGCAGGGCAGGCTGAGCTCGCCGTCCTTCTCGGCGGCGGCGGAAGGGAAGAAGTCGCAGTTCCAGTTGAGCTGCATGTCGTGGTCCTCCAGCAGGATGTCGGAGACGTAGCTCAGCTGGTCCTCCTTGGACAGGGGCTTGCCGGCGCCCGGCCCGGACTTCATGGGCGGGGACTGGGGGGGCGTCGGGAGCGACTGCAGGTCCTTCATCAGACTCTGGCAGAACTCGTCGTCGAACAGCAGCGGCTCGGTGTACAGCCAGTCCTGAGACTGGGAGAAGCTTTGCAACATGTTTGCTCGCAGAATCTGGAGAACAAATAAAAAATAAAAAGCTGTCAGATGCGTGCGGTTTGAAATCCAGAGCCGGTGGCGAGTTTAAAAAGCCGCCGCGCAGTGACTCAGCAACAGGAGATGCAGTGAAAGTTTAAACCATTTCCAGCAGACTGACTCCGGCAGCAGTGGGGAGAGTTTTTAATCTGTGTTTACATCACTGTGGTCCCGCCCCTCTGGGGGGGTGGCAGTAAATCACACAAAATCCCTCGCATTTACAAACCCCATGACGTCACAGAACAGCTGAGGGGGACTTTACACTTCTTACCCCACAATTTGCATTTTTTTTTCCAACCCCTGTAAGTGGAGCCCGGCTACCTGCTGGCGTGGAAAACAAAACCCTTGTGAGCGGGGCGGGGGGGCTTCTGGAGCCCCCCCGGGGAGAGTGGGGGGGCTACTTAACACTTAAAAGCCTCCGCTTCTGTTTCACATGCATGGACCCTCCCTGCAGGATCATTTAGACGCGCACAACTTATTTTAAATACCAACAGCTGCTTTGCACAAAGCCCCAAAAAAGTTACAAAACATAGTGATTAAACTAGTCTGAGCACGCGGACGCTCCTCCGCCTCAATTGACCCCGAATGAGTCATAAAATAGAAATAAAACCGTGTAAAAAAGTTATATAATACAAAATAATTGCGTCCATAACTTAAAACAGACGGGGCAGCAGAGGGCAGTTCACTCGGTCCTGTGGAGACTTGTGGTATGTGCGTGCTCGTGCGCGCGCGCGCGCAGCCGGTCTGCGTGGGAGAACAAAGCGGCAGTGTGCGCGCTGCAGAACCGGCCGCGCGCCGCCGCCGGAGCCCCGCGTGCAGACCGCCGCGCGCGGGGAGCGTCGACCGGACACGCCGAACGCGGAGTTTAATGACACGCCGGGCAGCGAGTGAAAAAAGGGACGCCGGCCGGCGGCTCCACCGGCCCGTGCTGCTGAAAAACCACACATTTCCCAACGAGGTCTGGAACGCAGATTCGCTGCGACGTTACTCGCTGCGTCCGGTCGCGTTGGCCGCGCGCCCGGCCGCCAGACTCCGTAGAGAAAAGCACCAGATGTTGCACACGTTTACTAAAATAAAGTCAGCCATCGTTAATTTGTGTTTCCACACTAGTTTAGTGTTTCATTTCGTTTAATGTAAGAACACACGAAGAAAAACGCACAGAGAAAAGTAGGAATGCAGAAGGCGAACTCGCGCTGCGCAGCCGGGTCATTTAAACCCGACGTGGCTCCCACGTGAAGCCGGCGAGACACGTGTGCGTCTCGACTTTTTAAAACCGGCACAAAAACGCACTACGACGACGACGACAACAGGCGACACACAAACGCACAAACGAACACGCAGCCGCGAGTGGAGTTAAAAAAGCCACATGTGCATAAATTCCGCCCGGGCGCAGCTGTCTCACCTTTAACGGGGCTCCGCACGCTGACTCAACGAGGACGAGGGGAAAAATGGCGGAATCGTCCGAAATATCCGAATAGAGTCCACAGGGAGGAGCGGGTCGTGGGGCGGGGGGGCCGAGCGATCAGCTAGGGAGGTGTTTTCTGCGTGTGAAGTTAAAGTGTGAGCAGGGCAGCATGGTGTTTATACTCTGTCAGGGTTTCTCCTGCGCGGAGGCACACACGCGCACTGTAGGTGTGGTCGGCGCGTCCCTCCGCTTATATGCTCCCGTCCTTCCGGCTGAAAAACCGCGCCAAAACGCCCAGGACCGGGGGAGACGTCACGGCCGGCGGCGCGGTCGCCCGGTGGCGGTTCGGCGGATCGAGCCGCGGCGGAAGCACCGGGAGCGGCGGCGGGCGCGTTTGTTTTCGCGTATTCGGTATTTTCGAGTTAAAGTGCGGGGACTAGCTCGCGGGCGGAGGGATACCGCGCGCGCGGTCCGGGATTCCAGGAAAAACGACGCCGGGTTAAAAAAAAAAGTTACGACAGAAAACACGTGGATGGCGGAGAGGTGCCGGGTGTCTCACGCCCCGTCTGCCCGTCTGCCTGCCTGTCTGTCTCTCATCCGACTCGAGGATCGGAGAAAGCGTTTTAAGCGTAGCGTTAGAAGGATATTTATAAGAAGCGTGACGTTAAAGAGAGACAGAGATGCGGTGGATACACGTGCGATTAAACAAAAAGCCCAGCGGCCGCTGTGCGCGTGCTGGAGGCGCGATCCACGGCTTCTTCTCGCGTGTGTAGGCTGAGGGAGACAGACAGGCTTTAGGAGCCACGTTGGACTCTTGCATGACGGGGGGGGGGGTTCGCCATGTCTTCCATGTCCTCCCTCCCTGAGACCGTTACGACGACCACAAACCGCCTCAAACTGTCACCCGCGGAGCCGCGCACGCTCTCGTGCACGATGGGGCTCGAGCCGGGAATTATCTTTCTTTATGTGTGCACTTTATTTTTCCATACAGAGGAAAAGCCTATTGTATAATATAACAATATAATATAATTTTACAATACAATTTAATATAATATAACATGGCATTTATCTTGTGTTTAAAATGACGCAGCTTTGGGATGAATGAGCCCCCGGTAACCCCCCCCCCCTTACATAACGGTACGCCGGTACACGTGATCTGCGAGGGATCTCTTCATGTACAGACATTTATATGCTTGTACATCATTGTATGTGCATTTATATACTTGTTATTTCTCCACGTGGATGACCGGCGTCCGATAATTAACACATATATCACACGTTCTACGCAATCACAACAGGTTCATTGTTTTTAAATAATATAATTAAAATCATATAAAATGGTAGAAAAGGACGCACGGAGTCGCGCGGGACAAAAGGCTGGTAAAGTAAAGCTCAAACCCCCCCCAGTCACCATACATGTAAATAAACAGCCCCTGCATGTTTATTGTTATTCCTGCATCACAGCTTTGCTGGGAGTCTCGTGGAAACTATTTATCTTGAGAGTAAAGGCTCCCCACATTTCTACAAACAGAGAAGGGGCTTCAGCAGATCCAACAAAGAAATATATATATATATATATATATATATATATATATATATATATATATATTATTATATAGGAGACCGCCTCCTCAGCTGCTCCAGACACCAACGTGTCCTCCAAATGTGGAGCAGCAGACCTTTATATATATATATATATATATATGAGGAGGCGGATCACAGAACGTTCTGCACTCAAAGAGAAGACCTGGATGTGAAGAAGTGGGTTAATGTGCCACCTGCTGGCAGACCGGCTGACCTGGTGTCAGATCGGCGTGCCGACGGGCCTCCTGGCCGGGGTTATCCTGGGGACAAACGGGACATTCCTCCTGTGGTTGCCCGGTAAAAAAGCTTCTGCACAAATCCCAGCACGAACACATCAGCACTACGGCGTGAATCACCATTATTGACTCTTAGCTTTGGTCAGATCTCCCTTTGGGGGGGGGGGGGTGTTCATCGCGAGAGCAGCTGATTTCTCCCACCAGGTTCCCAAAGCTGATCTCTGCAGATCACACGAGACTGCAACTTATATACAATAATACATATTTAACGCTCTTTACTGAAACATAACTAAGTCGTTTCCTGTAAAGACGGCATCTTATTTTGAAACGAGCGGAATTCAAACGAAATTCCCACGCTGGACGATTGTGAATAACGAGGGGGGACGGTTTGATGGAACGTTTGACTCTTCATCAGACCGTGAGCCCCCCTCCAGGTGTAAAGGTGTGATGAACAAGCCTTCCCCGTCTCAACAAACGCCGCCGTCCTCTGCAAAAAGCCTCCTCCTGAGTGGCCGGGGGGGGGGGTCAAAGGTCAGCCCGCTGACTGACTGACCGACTGACTGGTTGACCGGCCCAGTGAACCAGATGGCAGTAAGACAGCTAATAGGACGCACAGCCGGAGCCCCGGGGGGAGGAGAGGGGCCTGGGAATGGGATTACCGCTGTGTGTGTGTGTGCGTGTGTGTGCCAGTGTGTGTGTGTGTGTGTGTGTGTGTGCGGGTCACCCCTGTGATCGCCTCCTTATTAGGACTCCTCATCCTGCAGCGTGTCTCTGTGCACACAGACAGGCAGCAGCAGCCTGTCTGTGTGCACGCTGCTTTAATTAGCCAACAACAGCTACAGTATAAGCACACGCACACACATGAACGCACACATGTATTACGAGAGCTTCTCAATCGCTGGTCGGAGGGCTGGTTTGGGGCCACTGGGTGCAGATGGAGGGACATTTAAACCGTTTTTTTTAATCTTCTTCTTCTATTTACAGTATTTTAGTCTCAGATGAAATGAATGTGGGGGGAAATAAGTCCACGTCGAAGGAGGCGGCGTCGTATCTCTGGAGTCGTCGTCCATCCAAACAGACAATCATTCCCGTGTGAAACCAGAAGTCAATGTGGATTTATTTCATGAGTAACTTCCCCAAACGTAGTCACCACTTCCGTGGTTGTTTGAACCCAAACAACAATCTTTTCCCAAACCCACTCTCCACCTTTTGTTGACGAACCCTAATGAAGTATTTCAGAATCTTTTCTTCAATCTAATTAAGCAGCTTCCTTCCCTGAAATGTTTCCTATGAGGACCGAAGTTTATTTTGAAAATAACATAAATTTAACAAGCAAGGTGACACCTGTGTGGTAGAACTCATGAAAAATGTGTAACTTCTAAAATATCACACAATCTCTTATGTGAGCATGAGTTATATTTCCACCATTACAATTCGTGAAAAAATAAATCAAAATCTCTCGTTTTGGCATTTAAAATACATTTTAAAGAGCTTGTATTTGATTTCTGAGTACGCTTTTAATTTGAAAGGTAAAAAGGTAAGTATACATTACGTCATGTCTTAAAATAAATGATCGGCTTCAATAAAGTTATATTTAATCCCCACATACATGGGAATGACTCCCCTCCGTTCCTCGTTGTCTATCTGGGGCCGGAGCTCGTTTGCATCACATTGCATCGGCGGGCATGAATGTGTGAGTGGCTCACAGCGAGGGGGGGGGGGGGGGGGGGGGGGTCCACTCGCCATCTCCATTTGTTTCACATGCAAACATGCGTGCACGGCGGGGGGCTGATGAGGGGCTGATGAGCATATTACAGGAGCCCTTACGGCTCCTTTGTGAGCGACACTTGTTGTATGATATGCATTCTTATGGGGGGGGGGGCAGGGGGGAGTTTCTCACGTATGCAGAGATAAAAGTCTTCGTTCATTTAAACCCACATGTTTTCTGTTTCTGAAAAATGTATTTTTCTTTAAGACATAGCAGACTCGCAGGTTAAGTGGCCCCCTGGGGGCGTTTTGAATAGTATGTCCATAGTGTTATTTGTGGGGGGGGTAAGGGCCCCTCGCTAAAGGCTGCACACGAGTGAAGCTTTGTTTATACTGGCGCTCAGCGCCGGCCTCCGCAGACGCCCCCCGTGACCCCCCCCCCCCAACATAAACGGAGCCGTTTTTAACTTTACATGAAACTCGTTGCATTTTTCTCCAGAACTTCGCAGACGAAAGGAAGAAAGCGACACCGCGGACGTAACTCACGGATATGGCAGCAGGTTTAAGTGGCGTGAGCCACAACCCATATCTCATATTTTCTTTATTCAAGCGCAGTAAAAAAATAACGGGAGTATGAAAAGCATTTCCCGGAGAAACAAGCGTTAGCGAGAAGAAGAGATTCAGACGTAGATTCAGGCGACATCGTGCTGCACTTAGAAGTGATTTGGCCTCTTCGGTGACGCGTAGAGATGTAAATAGATTTTATCTGGGAACCATTTGCCTCGGCCGTCAGCTGTTAGCAACGTTAGCTGTTAGCAACGTTAGCTTCCGGCTCGTGCCACGTTGAGATCCAGGTGTCTTTTCTATTTGGTTTATTTAAAATTGTCTTTGCTTTTGTTGTAAAATGCAGGAACAACTTTGTATGAGGAAGCGTTAACATGATATTACTTTGAGATATAAATTGTTGTCCTGCTTTGCCTGTTTCAACCACAATCATATGGTCGGAAGACATCCTGAAATTTAATATATATATATGTATATATATATACATGTATATGTATATAAAGGACAACTTTCCGGCTTTAAGGGAGAGGAATTAGAGTGAAAATAGAACGAGAGGGAAGTTTTCTATCGTAATTGCCGGTCACTGAGGTCCCAGAGAGACTTATCGTCCTCTTCCCTTCATTCCTCTGAAATTACAGCTCTCAGAGCATCACCACATTCACTCACTCACCAAAGTGTGTAATGACAGACCTGCACACACACACACACACACACACACACACACAGGGCTGCAGAGATGCTGTTCTAATGCACAGCAGGCTGAATGTAACCAAACAAAAGGCCGGAGGGAGACACGTGGTCACGTGTGGCCTCACAGGGAGAGCAGGTACACAGGTTAGCTTAGCTTCCCCCGTTTGGAGTTGCGGCTAACTTTCCTTTCCTTTCCTTGGATGTGCGGAAGGACCCAGGTGGTTGTTGATTTTTGACTGTTACGTAACTTGTGTTACTGTGAAGAACCTGGAACTAGTCTAGATACTGGTGCGTCTATACGACCTCCATCAGTAGACGAGACCTTCAGAGGAAAGATCTCTGAAGGGATCCCGGTGAGAAGACACGCTACCGCGTTGGTCCACAGGGGGCGCCACTACAGCAAAATATTAAAGTTAACGCCCGTACATAAAAGACATTTGAGTTCAAACTAGAATATTTACTAAACAATATCATTAATAGATCTAACCACTAATATGTTGTCCGTAAATGTCCAACGACGGCAGAATATGAAACTGTACCAAATTTGAGCCTCCGGTGGAATTTGGCTCTTTGTCCTTTGTTAACAATCAGAAACGATGTGTGTTGAATTCCATATTTCATGATTTAAAAATAAACTTGAAATCAAATTGCAACAGTTACTCTCTTTTTCACATGAGACATTTTCGGCACATTTCGTGGAAGTATCTGACCTCGTCATCGCAGGCAGAAGAAAAAAAAGGACATTGCAAGAGAAACAAGCAAACGGAGGCCGCTGGTTATAACGGCTTCTGTGGTTTCGGGTGGAGTTTTTGTGCTTCGAGGACTTCCATCGACGCGAGCATCCGTCGGAGCAGAGAGGAGGAAGAGCAGCCGTGGGGCATTCTGGGAACAGCCTTCATTTGGCGTGTGTGTGTGTGTGTGTGTGTGTGTGTGTGTGTGGCTCGGCATGCTTGGTGGTAGACATGAAAGGGACCAACCACAGCTTTGCCAGGAACATTTAAAAGAACATCC